TCAAAGACAAAATCATATGAAAGAGAAATTAATAACTGTCAAATTAATAATGAGCAGGGGTTAAAATCGATTCGGATAAAAATTACCTATGGTGGTGTGATCCATTAATCACGGCACTTAATCATCGGCAAAGTACATAAAAGCGAAAAGAGGATTTGCCTTGACAGCGAATTTTCAGTGTGGTCGAGTCTCTTTTCATTAACATTTTCAATTACCCGCGGCTCATTTGCTCATAATCCCCGCGTGCTAAAGAGGCTGAAGCGCAATTACGTCTTTGCTTCCTTCTGCGGCAACTACGACGACGACGAGGAAAAACCAAGAGAGAAGAGACAGGAGAAAAAAAAGTGGAGCGGAAAAAAGGCTGTACAATCGCTCGGCGCGCGACAATTTCCGTCGTCCTTATTATTTTCCGCCAGTGCGCACGCGAACGCGGTTTTTCCCTTGGATAAATGATTTTTTTCCTGCAGCGATACTGTGCACATAGTGCAATAATTCCTAATAGAAGACTTTGCGTACTTTGTTGCGATTGACAGCTATTGCTGTAGCCTTCCTCTCTACACGGTGAAATTAGCATTGATCGTTATCTACTTGGAAAGCGAATGTCAACCTGCTGTTTTTCTTTCTTCTCTCGTCGTTTCAACAGCAATGAGGCTATTTCCTTGAACTTTTTTTTCCATTTCCGTCTTGTTAGTCGTGAAACCTTTGGACTGGCTTTGCGTATTTAATGAGAGTTTCAAAGTTTTAAGTGACAAACTCGAGATGAAAATAAAGGAAAACGGTTTGAATGCATGATTTTTATGAGAAATGCAATGTTTATGTGCGAAAAGTTATACTGAATTGTACCTGAGCTAACATAACATACTAATCTCTCAAAAGGTAAAATATGGCAAAAAATTTATAATTTAAACGTCTAATAAATAAATAAAAATATAATTGTACTAATTTTTTTTTTATTTTAATTTTCTGCTCGCTTTTGTAATTAATACTGTAGTTTTATTCATGCTTATACGATATTACAATGAAGAACGAATAAATTTCTGCATATTTTTATCGACAAGTATTGTAACATTAATACGCTTTGTAAGCATTTCATTAAGGTATTTTTCTTCTCTTTATTATATACTTTGCGAGGCCTGCTTTTCAAAGAAAATAATTAGTTTAAATTATTGATATTAATTTAGAAATTTGATATCTTTTAATCAGTTTTATAAGATTAAAAATAAGCAAACTATGCGGATTACACATCTTTCGAATATTTTACGTAGAACCTAAGGCAAAACTGTCCTTGGGGTTTTTTCTACTCTGAATAAATGTTGACTAGTTGTATTGATTATTTGTTTCCATTTGTTATTTTAACTGAATAAAGTACCTTGAGGAAGTCAAATTATATTGTAAGTTTATTTGATACATATCTGATAATGTAATCTAGTTAACTCGATATTGTACGAGGAAAAGAAGACGAAAACATTAATCGCGTATTATGCAAAATAAGTCTGAAATAGGTTATCCTTTGTAGACTTAAAATGAATATAGTTTTTGAAGTAACAATAACAACAATATCTTAACGAAAGACCTCGATAATTTATAATTTATTTTTCACAAATTTCAAATGCACATGCCAATATATAACTTACATTCTATTCTTAACTAATACGTGCTTCTAGATTAACATATATATCACTAAAAATACTTCTTCAATGTTATAATTTATAGATACATTTGAATTTGAGTATATGCAGGTCTAATTATTAAAACGACAAAAACTTTTATTTGATGTTATCAAAAATTTAATTAGAAATTTATTGATAAAAATTACCAATTTATCCTAATATTTTCAATATATTTACTTTTTTTCAATTGATAAAATAATTGAGAACTAACTCTAGTAATATTGTAGCTGGTTATCTACATATATGTACACATCGGAAAGTTTTGCGAGAAATAAATGCTCCAAGGAAGAGAAGTGGTTAAATTACGAAAGCGCGCCACGAAATGGACTGCATGATTAGCCATTAGTTAGCATTTTTGGGCGGCTACTTGAGTATCTTAGGCACAGTTATTTAAAATATCTTGCATGATTTTGAAAATTAATATAAAGCATCTTAATCTATACTCTTAGTCGTCACGAATCTCGTTAATTATTCAATGATCCGATCCACTTCTTTACGCACGAAAATGTATATAAAAAAAACTAACAAAAGTAGCATTATCGAAGAAAATTTGGCCTGCACAGCTGTAAGGCAAAGTCGAAGAAAATCGTATGCAAAGCAGTGTGGCGTGTATATTGGCAGTTGGAAGTGGCGTTCATGCAGAGAAAGCGAGAGACGGGGCGTCGCGTCTGTGCGGAAGTTACGATTCCAAGCTCGCACGCGAGCCATCCGTCGTTTCGAGCTCAATTACTGAATCGGCTCATACTTCTTCCGGGGAACCAATTAAGAAAACCCATTGAGGGGAGGATTGCCGTGAAATCGAGCACATATTTGCTGATTGGAATGGAAAACGGCAAGGGGCTTAGGTTTGCGCTGATACGTACAGGCAAACAAACCTTGTGCCATGTGCGTATAGTCCTTCTTTCATAGTAATGTGCAGTAAAACTCCTCGCGACGTTACGCTTGTCGGATTGTTCCTTCGAATTTCCGTAAACAAAAAGCCTCAGCGTGACCATATCTGTTTTTCGAATGAGAACACGTAGTTTCGAATATTTATAAGAAGAGCCCGTTAAGCGAATAATGAATTTAATTTGTATGGAAATTTCTCTTGCTCAGCAGCTCGGCCGCGTGGAAAAGCGTAACTAATTACTTTTTAAAAGCTCGAGAAAAACTTAACATAAAATGGCTTGTTTGTAAATTTTTAATTAAAATCGCATCGAGTGCACAAGCTGTTCTGAAATAATTGAAAGCGTTCATTCAAACGAGATTTGCTTTCTGGACGCATTAACTGCATAATGTCGGTCTCATGTAAGTAAGCTTGTGTATTATTTAACAAATAAGATAATACAATTCTAGAGCAGAAAAGAACATGACAATACGGGTCCACGTCATCGTATTTTTTCGCTTTAGTTTAATGTTTTTTTAAGATTCCAGATATTCTGAATTGGAAAATACCAAGAGTCAACCTCGATTAAAAGTCCATTCGCGCGCTTTCTCTCTCTCTTTCTCTCTCTTTATTTTTCCTTCGGGTGTATGTTAAAAATGCAGGAACACTCGCTGGCTAGAAGCAACAATTAGCGCGGGACTGACTCGACTCAAGCATTAGCCGTAAAAGCCCGAAAGGCAGCGTAAATGCGGCGGTCTGTTGTTGGCGCGTCTTGACGTTGTGCGAGACGGGTACTAGTCATAGCGATTGTCGCGATACTTTTTTCTTGTACCGCAGAAATATTTAGGAAGTCACAGCCTCGCAGGGAAATGCCCTCTAGCGCTTTTCTTTTCTCTCATCTTTTCTCTCTCTGTCTTTCTGTTTCTCTCTTTCTCTACTGACTTTACCTTTGTTTCTCTTGTGCTATTTTCGCAACGCTTATACACTTGTTTTTTATATCCTTTTTGCGTAAAGTCTTTTGTCCGTTATATTGTATTTTGAAAAAATGCTCTAGCAGGTGCACTAGGAAAACTGGTTATGATGTTTTTTAGAACATCGAGGATAGTAAACGAGCCGGAGTACATATTTCGATATTCCATGGTTATCTTCGTTGTTTCTAGATTCTGTCAAAACAGAATAAAGAAGATTTCTACTCTAATTCAATTGGATAATTGATTTTGCTTCTGTAAACGAGTAATCCTATTTTTTATTGTACGGGTGATTACGTAGAATGCAGTAGCTTTGTATTCTCAGCGACTCAAATGGCATTGCATTGAGCGGACGTTGCTTGCGACTGTTTCTCGGACAAAGTTCGCAAACGGGCAGTCATTGAACGTCCGTGACCCGTCGTGACTAAAGTGCCTTCCAGTAAAGTGGGCTCGAAGATTTTTAGAAGTTTTCCTGATCAGCGACAAACTTGCGAATCACGATACAGACAGAAGGTCCGAAACGACGTTGAAACTTTGAACGGCGAACGTCGAACACAGAAGAGCCGTCGCGTCCTACTTTAAATTCGACGTTGCAAGCAAACGAGCCAGGGAAGAAAAGGGGGTAAGACTGTTTCTGTATCAAACTGATAGACAGCGGCGTTGCAGCAGGAATTGGCGTTGCGAGCGCCGCTTCCCATGGTAGCTTTCCGCGACTGTTCTTTACTTTGCATTGCCCCGCATTTGTCACGGATTTAGCTTACGTCATAATTCACGCGAAGGGGATTCGCAAGCCGGAATACGCAGTTTTGCGCGCGTGTGCGCATTTTCGCTCTCGCTGCTGTTATGTACATTGGCCCTGTGTGTTAATAAGCGCGCTTATATGCATTTGGAAATGATTTCCACTTCAAATAAGCCGCTTGTTGCAATTATGCGCTGCCGTTTAATTTTAGGCGCAGTCTCCGACGCTACAAACTGGCTCAACCCGGACGAGAACTGCGAATTCATTTTGGATTGAATTATTCAACGGTGGCTCGTGATGGGACTGAATTTTATTACCAATATGCAGCTGTAATTGTGAATTGTGCAGCTTGTAACGTCATATACGTAAGTGATTGATCTGTGGGAACCGATACTCTTGAATGCCAATTCAGTAAGAATTCAATACTTTTTTGTACACATCTATGAACGTTTATACGAATAAAAAGTAGCAATACCGAAGCACTACTTGAAATTATTCCACTATTACTACTCTCTTTCTTATAGTGATAATGCCTGCAATTGTTGGCGCAAAGTCGTCGGCATAGTTCGCGCGCGACGTTGACAATAACGTAGCATTTCGAAAAAAACGCATAATCTTCGAGATAGATAAATGTTCTTTCAACCTCATTTAAATGTGTATGTGTTTGTGTGTGTGTGTATGTATAAATGTTGGTAACTCTTTCGCTATAAACTGTTTTCTCATACGTTGCATTTCATTTCCATTCACGAACAAAATTACGATGGTTCCTCTAAAGTTTTACTTTCTGCCAGTCTTATGTAAGTATTTAGTTAATATTCATAAAATAGACATTTTAATAAAAATTTTGTTTAAGGCATATGTAGTTCTGGATTTACTTTTTCGAACGAATTAAAGAATAATGCGAAAAGTAATAATTTGTTATATTATGAGGATATATTAGAAGCGCAGAAAGATAAAACCATTTTAATTATTGACATAAGAGAAGATTCTGAAATACGAGAGACGGGAAAATTGCCTGGCAGCATTCACATACCAAGTGAGTTTATTGTTCTCACAGTGGCTTAAAATCGTTGCGAATAAAAGTATCAATATTTTAGTGGGTAAAGTTATTAATGTGCTAACGGAATGTTCGAATGAAGAATTTGAAAAACAATACAATAGGACGAAGCCTACGTTCGATACGAAGATTATTTTGAGTTGCCTCAAGGGTCTTAGAAGTGGTAAACTATTACCAAAAATGCTTCAATTAGGATTTAGAAAGTAAAAATTATTCGTTTAGATAATATTTTGCAGTTATGTTATTTTTTAACATTAATATTTTTTCCAGTATGTTCAGCTATGCAGGTGGTTGGATGGACTGGGTTCAACATCAAAAACAAAATTAAATCATTCTCGTTGTAATATTTATAAATTTGTGAATATCAATGGTAGTGCATTAAAAATGAATTGGTACCGGTTTAACTTTACTTATAAGCTGATACGAATTAGTTTAAATAAATAAGCGATAAACTGTCAAAAACGTATTATCTGTTTACGTCAGATAATAATTTACTCCACTTTTCCGGCAAACGTAAAAATCAGGCAACGATTAAATACTACATACGGGTATGATCTCATGTTTACATTTAACAACGATAAGCAATTTAAGAATAATAATAGCAGAAAAAATGAGACAAATGAATGTTACGACCCTTGCTAATTGGAATTATGTTTGAAATGAAATAAATAGAAATTGAAAGTATTTGCCGGGGCAGCAGTTTGTTGGCAGTGCAGAAAATCCACGGTACTTCAGCGCGGAAAAGCGACGCGAACGGACCCGTGAAAGCCGCGCCTAAGGCACTTGGAAAGGGATAGTTGGCGAGAAAGTGAAATTTGGCGATGCTCTTTTTTTCGTGCAGCCGCGCCGGACCGGGAAGGATCCCAGTGGAAGCAGTGAGTCGAATCAGTAAGGGAATTAGTCGTTATTGATTTATTCGATGGGATTCTGGAAATTTTGAATGCGGATAATTTTATATTGCGATGTCGGCGTCCATGACAGTCAAAGCCTTGCTGACGAAGTTTACGAGCAGAAGTTGTTCGAAACACTCGGGCGTCGAATTTTCAAATTTGCTTGATGTTGGCGAATCTGTAGTTTAGCGTGGTGCATGCAAATAATTTACTGCCAGACTCTACCTATAACACTTCCTGTTACCGTAACCGGACGCGAACAAAATAAGTTAGAGTTTTCTCAATAGGATAACCAATCACCTTACATATGCATAGGATTAATAATTATCTATGGAATTGATTGATATGTTGAAATATTATTTTATCTGTAACAAATATATCATTAGAAAAATTAATAACAATTGTATGATTATAATTATATATTATTGAAATTGATGAAAATTAATGAAATTTGAACTATATTATTGTTCGGGATGGTATGAGATGAATCATCGCGAGAATACGGTTTGATATCAATATGCGCAACTACAAAACGATTGCCTGCAAACGCAGTATCGCTTGCATTCTTTCACCCAATTCTCATTCGTAGAATCCGATACTTGACTGGTGCGTTGACATCTGTTCTAACTCGGCGAGAGAACTAAGAAAGCTTGACTGAGCAATCAAGTGTCGATCGCAATGAATGCGTTTTCGGTCGGGTAACACCGGATAATCTCTACGATCGCGATATGCCTCCTCGAAAGAAAACAAACATATTCTTTTACTCGACTAAGCGTATTTTTTGTTTTTTAAGCGGCGATCTAGTTTAAGATATTTATAAGAACTGTAAATAACGTAAGAAGCGTGAGCGTGAGCGATTTGAGCAGTGCGCCCTGATGCAAGCCAAATTTGTTTAGTTTTTGTAGCGTAATAGTCGAGGCGAAACGTTGAGTTTCCTTCAATTTCGTTCCTTTATGATCACGTTTATGACCGTGTATTCCTTTCTCTATGCATAAGATCTAACGATTAATCTGTCGTCAATGAGACTTATTGTGACTGAAGCCGCTGTCCACGCCCTGCAAACAAGCACATCGCAAAAACAGATGCTGCATTTGTTTCTTAAACCAGCAGGTCAGAACAAGATGGTTCATGACCTCATCTGGGTCTCGTAAGTCGAGCTCAAGGTTGAACGGTGGAGGGCAGAGAACGTGACTCTCACCCGAAAACCAAAGAATTGTTATTGTATGATTGGGGGGACAGCAGGCATATTATCACCATTGGCTGCGGTGCAATAAAAAAAAAGCAACGCCTATTTGGTCTTATCTTGAACTATGAAAGTGGGGAGGAATTTCCAATTTTTCTCGGCTTGCAGCTAGTGACGCATTGATCAGAACGCTTCAAACGCTCGATTAGGCAAGTCCTTTTTTCTCTAGCGCTAGAAATTTGTATCACTTTGAAAGGCATTTTGATTTTTATTACGATTAATGGCTCTTGAGATTGTTAATTGCGATTAATTAAGTTACTTTATTTGTGTTTATTGCATAACTTATAGTATTTAAATAATTTATCATAAGATTCTATGTTCTCAAATGTTATACGATTATATAATTAAAATTGTTTGTTCTAAAATTGATTAAAATATTCTCACTCATCCTCAACCCGAACAATTATCAGTCAGTGTTTTTATACGCTTGATCGTAATTATAATTTATAGGCAGCACGCATGCGAGCCATAATAAGATTTTTCTTTGATACTGCAATAAAAAAAATATAGGTAGTTTAAACAACGAACTTGGCAAAGGCAATTAAAAACTAATGCACTTAATCATATTTTTAGAGCTCGAAGTTCTGATGTGGAATGCGTTTAACTATTACCTCTTATATAAGTATACATATATACGAGTCTAGAGAGCACGGTCGGAAACACGAGGGAGCCCAGCAGTGTGTAATGTGCTAAACTTTTCAATTATCCGAAACGTGACAATAATCTCAGCAGCAAGTGCACGCGTTGGATGGATTCCTTAACAAGTCGGGGGCCAAGTGAAAATTTGTCGCGCAGGGAATGGAGAGAGAGAGGGAGAACTCTTAGTCCGCGTCTATCGAGTCGAATGGCGCTCGCGAAGGCAATATTGAAAGCCACAACGTTGGCTTCTTCTTGGCTGATTCGCCCTCGCATTAGAGCTTTTGCTTCCCTTTTCGCGATCATCTGTCGGATCTCTCCGGCTGCTTTCTCTTGCCCCTTTGTCGCTGAGAACCTTTTAATATTTCTCCTCCGTCTGATTACCCGGTCTGGCGTAATGCAATTTCGACGTCTGTTCCGTCGACTAAAAAGCGCCCCGAGAAATGGAAGCTCTCTCTCTACCCCATTGCTTGGGCTTCGCGCGCGCGCGCGAAACTTACGAGCGTAGATTCTTTTTCATATATCGAAAATCCCGCGCCATTTAACAGTAGTGTGCGAGGGAGAGCAAGATGGGAACGGACGTCGTTAATCACGCGCGGCTCGCGCCGCGAGCTCGTTCTTTCCTCGGCGAGGAGAAGGATTTTTCTGGCCGCGAAATTGAGTGTGGTTGTGTTGAGAGCTCTCCTGCGAGAACGAGGGGAAAAGAAGCGGAGAGGCGCGGATTTATAAGGCGCTGCTGAGGCGATAGAAAGAAAAGGTCGGCGCTGTATAGGCATTTTTGCCCTGTGTGTCGTTGCTGTGCCGTGTTAACAGCTTCGAATTGGACTAACTTGAGAAATGTATTTTCTACGTGGACGTTGATTTATTAAACGCTATACGCCTGCCGCCCGCGGCCACATTTTTATTTCCGAGCAATTTTATTAAACTAGCCCTTTCCTTCGTTTTCTCACCACGTCAAAGGTGAAAAATGCTTTGGCAACAACGTTGTGGCTATCGATAAAATAGCCAACCAATAGCTTTTTCACGAATTCCGTTTCGACAGCTATACTCCAGCGGTGGTAATAATCAACTTATTTTAATGATTTAATAAAAACCAGCTTACGGCGTCATTCGTTTTCTCTTTCGGGTGGAGGATCAGATGCTTCGCAAAACATAATTATAAAAGGTGTTAATTTTTGTGACATAAAAAAATAAAAAATCGCCCAATGCATTTGATATTCGCTATGTGAATAAAGATAAAATTATCTGTTGTTACGTAAAGTATTGGCACATATTAATTCACATAAGATAAAATCAATAATTCTTTCATTAAAGAATAACGAATATCACTGTTTTGTAGCGTTGTTTTATGAACCGTGAGAAAATTGTCAGTGAACAAATTCCCCGATTGAGTTATTTTTTGGAATATCTCGACTTTATTAGATGAAGAAACATTCTGATCTACAATTGTTTGATTTCAAACGACAGCCCATAATACTTTATATGATCAGACATTGTCCCATTTTAGCCGTTTTTCTCTAACAGTGCACTATTTATCCCTTGATCATATTTTAATCTTAAGTAACGAACACGAGGTCCCACCGAGACTCTTCATCTGTAGCTCGGGCACAAGTCTATATATACCGATAAAGCTTAATAAAGTCAACAGCTATAACAAAAGAGCCCGAAATCGATGTGGCATGGCCATACGTCAACTCGAGCTGACGTGTACTCGAGCGAGTACCTAACAATGGAGCGCTGCTGCAGCCCTTGAACGGAAGACCCGAATAGAAAAAGAGAAGACGCGACGGCGCGCGAGAAAGAACAAAAAGAAGAAAGAGGCCTCGCGTAAAAAACCATCAGCATCAACGCGCGCGCTCTGGTGCTTTTAACGCGCTGCGCATGCGACTTGTCAAAACCGCATCGATCTCGCGTGTTTCATCTCAACTGGGACGAATAGTATATGAGGCCTCGCGGACGATGCAGCAACGAGGGAATGCTTGGCGGGGCGCAAACGAGAGAAAGAGCGAAATGTTCTTTGTGCGCGCGTGCAACGAGAGCTTTTGACGTTGCCCGCTACATACACGGCTCACTGGCTGCTCGCTTCCACCCCCCCCCCCCCTCCCTCCGCCCCGGCCGTAGTTTCTCATATCCACGCGAATTTTTCTTGTCCACGCCTTGCGCGCGCTATTCTTCATCGGCTTGGAGTGTGCGATGCTTCTCGATTAAGCTCATTATCGTTTTATTCAAAGTCGCGTAAAAAAATCGCGTGTCAGGATTCCGACGCGAATGCTGCGAAGATAATTAGTATGGGATGCTGTTGCTCGCGCCAACATTAAGCAAGCGACCGTAAGGTATATTCAAGTTACTGTTTCATTTCAAAAGGAGCACCTCGAAAGAGCAGAACGGTAGTAACCTCGTCCTGAAATCTGCGATTGTCTCCGGGACAAACGACATTCTTTTCGAAAATGTATGCAGGGGCAGAGGAAGTTTAGAATGAAAATGTATTCGAAGAATTCGGTGTTGATGAAAAGCTTGCGAAGTACGATGCCAACAATCCAATTATCCTTACCTTACTTTCTAATTATCATAAAGCTAGCGTCGCTGATCGAAATCGAGCATTAATTAGCTTGCAATTAACAAGCCGCGAGTGCGTCCAGCGTTAAAAGGCGTCCGCCGTGTCGTACTAATGAATGTTACGTAATTGTTAGGTAGTAATGTTTGCTGTTTCATGCTCGATGTCGATCGTTAAAATGGAATAGAGAGTACGATGGATGCAATCA